TGCAAGAGGGCCGAGTTTGAGGTTTTGCAGCAAAATGGTATGTCAGTTGCAGAGTATGAGGGTAATTTCATGCCTTGGCTAGGCATGCTTCGATGATACTTCCCACAGAGGCTGAGAGAGTAAGGAGGTTTGTTAAGGGGCTGATTATTCCAATTCGTCTAGGAGTTTCTCAGGTTGCTGCTTCTGGTGTTCCATTCCAGAAAGTGGTAGATGCTGCTAAGGAGTTGGAGATGATTCGACGTGAGGGATTTGAGCAGCGAGAGGGCAAGAGGACTCGTTATTTAGGTTATTATGGTGGTGCTCCGCCTAGGAGTCGGGGTTACTTGAGCAGAGGTTATCACCCTCAGTCCAGCAGACCCATTCATGCTGCTATACCAGCGTCTGAGGCTGGTTACGCTGAGCATAACTCTTCGAGCTCGGTACATACTTTGCAGGGTTCATCTTCTAGACCTGTAGTTCGTGGAGGGCATTCTGGTCATTCGGGTTCCTCTCATCAGCCTGCGTCTCGTAGGGGTTGCTTTGAGTGTGGTGATATGGGAAACTTTGTGAGACATTTCCCTAGGACCAGACGTGGAGGCTTACGTCAGGGTTCTCAGGCTTCGACTTCCAGGGCTGCACAACCTCCAGCTAGGGGTGGTGCACAGAATGGTAGAGGTGGTTCTCATTCAGGTAGAGGTGGTTCTCCTTCTGGTCGAGGTGGTGGTTGAGGAGGTTCACAATCTGATGGAAGTCGTTCTCACTGTTATGCTTCTCCACGTAGGCCAGAGGCTGAAGCCTCAGATGCTGTTATCACAGGTATTATTCCGGTTTGTCATCGACCAGCTACTGTATTATTTGATCCAGGCTCTACTTATTCTTATGTGTCCACATATTTTGCTCCTAGTCTGGATATATTGTGTGAGTCTCTTGATTTGCCGATACGTGTTTCTACTCCTATCGAGGATTCTGTAGTTGTAGATCAAGTGTATCGTTTATGTACTGTTACTTTGATGGGGTATGACACTCATGCAGATCTAAAGGTCTTAGAAATGATAGATTTTGATGTGATTCTTGGTATGGATTGGTTATCTTCTTACCACGCAATTTTAATTTGTCATGCCAAGACCATCACAGGTCTAGAAGATGAACCCTGCGAACTATGTACCGAGCTCGAAGAGTTATGCCCAGCGTAACCAGCCTCAGACGCTGGTATAGCAGCATGAATGGGTCTGCTGGACTGAGGGTGATAAACTCTGCCCAAGTAACCCCGACTCCTAGGCGGAGCACCACTATAATCACCTGAATAACGAGTCCTCTTGCCCTCTCGCTGCTCAAATCCCTCACGTCGAATCATCTCCAACTCCTTAGCAGCATCTACCACTTTCTGGAATGAAACACCAGAAGCAGCAACCTGAGAAACTTCTAGACGGATCGGAATAATCATCCCCTTAACAAATCTTCTCACTCTCTCAGCCTCTGTGGGAAGTATCATCGAAGCATGCCTAGCCAAGGCATGAAATTTACCCTCATACTCTGCAACTGACATACCATTTTGTTGCAACCCCTCAAACTCAGCCCTCTTGCGCTCCCTCTCACTTCGTGGAACAAATTTGGATAGAAATACCTGAGTAAACTCAGTCCAGGATAGTGGATGGGATCTAGCTGGCCTACTACTAATATAATACCTCCACCACTGCTTAGCAGAGCCAGTCATCTGAAACGCTGTGTAGTCAACTCCATGAGACTCCACTAATCCAAGATTATGCAACCTCTCATGACAACTAACTATGAATTCATATGCATCCTCAGCTAAGTCACCAGTATAAGTAGGAGGATTCATTAGTCTGAACCTTCCAAACATCTTTTGCTCATCAATAGTCATAGAAGGCCTGTTCACCAAATGTGATGTCATATCTGGAAACTCCATACTATCCAAACGAGGAGCTACACCGGCAGCTGGCTGAGTCCTGGGAGTTTGAGAATCTGGAGCAACTATCGGATCTAGAGTTTGACCTCCAACACGGGTCTGTGAGCCATCAGAAGTGACAGGCAAAGCTTCTGCCTGGGCCATCCCCTCTAGGATTCCTAACATACGAGCCAAGGTATCTTGATGAACTGGGGGGACAATAGTACTGGTTGGAGCTTGAGCTGGCCCATCCCCCTCGACACGATCTTGCAAATCCCCATGAATAACCTCTGCATCAGGAGGTACGGCCCTATCACGACCCTGGGTAGCTACTGGTACTTGAACATCCACAGGTGCTGCAACACGGCCCCTACCCCGACCTCAAGCTCGTCTCCTACCTCTACCTCGGACAGTGTTCCCAGAAGCAGGCACAGGAATAGGATCCTGACCACCACTTGTCTATGTACGATTCCTCGCCATCTGAGAGTGAATGAAATATCAAGATTAGAATTTCTACAAGGTCAAGTGTGCACGATAATGAATAAAAGAACAGATTATTTCCTAAATGTTGTATAGCCTCTCGAAGATAGGTATGGACGTCTTCATACCGATCCTCAAAACTCTACTAGACATTGCTCTTGTACTCTTGAGACCGATGAACCTAGGGCTCTGATACCAAATTGGTCACGACCCAAATTTTGTAAGTCGTGATGGCACCTATGTTCCCAACCAATAGGTAAGTCAACCCAACATATTAACCCAACTAAACCAACAAATGAGTAAAAAAGACCAACGCTTAGCAAGAATCTCCAACATTGAGTTCCTTATAAGTACGAAATGCGGAAGATAAAATATATCACCCCAAGAATTGGTGTCTTAAGTACAAGAGCTTCTAAAATTCGATGCAAGTCTGAAACTAAATGACAAATCTAACATAAGGGATATCTTGTTTGAATACTAATAACAAAATAAATAAAAGATAGATGGAGGTGTGGGCCACGGAACAGCCAAGCAGCTCACCACAACTCCAAGAACTTCAAGCCGGACTCAATTTGCTCTACGAGAGGTGCTCCTACTCGGAATCGAATCTGCACCATAAAGAGTGAAACAAGCGTAGTATGAGTATGAAACCACGTGTACCCAGTATGTCTCATTGACCGACAACGAAGAAGTAGTGACGGGAGTTATATAAGAAAATAAATTCTTAGATTGTACAAGTATATATATATATATATATATATATATATATATATATATATATATATATATATATATATATATATATATATATATATATATA